AACTATCCCAGAACGGAGGGGAAATAATGGCCTCAAGTTATGGGAAGCCAGATTCTGGCTGAACATCAGCAGAGGCTTCCTGACTGTTAGAGCGGTACAAGAGTGGAACCCATGGCCTAGGGAGGTGGTGGGCTCTTCCACACTGGAAGCACTCAAGATGCAGCTGGGCAGCCACCTGACCGGCTTGGAGTCCTGCACTAAAGAGGAGGTTGGACTCGATGGACCACTGGGCCCTTCCATGATTATGAGACGCTCTTCTATAAACACACACACACGAGCACAAATTGCATATCGCTTGTAAAAGCTGCATACGCCGCCCTTTGGTAGACACGGGTTTACCAAACACACACAAAGCAGCAACACCTTAGGCACATCACTCTCCCACCAAGCACTCACAAGTATCTGCAGCCCTGCCCTAAAAGAAGAGGCATGTTTTCATATCATACACTCTTGATGTTGATTTGTTCAATTATCCCCTCATAGTAACAGACAAGCCTGCTTCAAACGAGGTCCTATTAAGTTTAAGATGACAGAAATTACTTAGACATGGGGACAAGGCAGCACACCCCCCATGAGCCACGAGCTCCCTAACAACTGGTTGCTGTCTTGATTAAAACCGGATCTGCTACATTGACCCTCCTCCATCTACGCTGACCTGTTGCAACCTTCCCTGACATCAGCCTGTTATTCTCCGCGTCAGAGCACGGCCTCTGAAGCACCTCTTTACTTACCCTCAACATTCTTCAGGAAAACTGTGTATAATCAACCTCCATTGTGGTGCCTGTTGCTATACAAGTAATCACACAGACTACTGGAAACAATAACTGAGGCATTGCGTGCCAAAGGCATGGTATACTTAAGAGTTAGAAGGCATTTCGTTCCAAAGAGCCTTCTGTGGACCCAGAAGAGCTCGTGGCTCTGGGGCCAGTGGTGAAGACCCCTTTCCTGCCCAGGATTCCTGAGTAGGTGGCAGCTAACCAGCTCCAGGCACTTCTGGATGAGACGGAGTCCCTGTGGCAATTTTGGCTGGGGTTTGGGGCTAGTTCTGCCACAGAAATACTGGGGTGACGACCTATGCCAGGTGAGAAATGGGGGTGGAGTGACCGTGCCGATATTCCTGGGTATCTCTCCCGCTTTCAGTACCATCAACCACGGAAACCTTCTGGAGCAGTTCTCTGAGTTGGGAGAATACCACATTGCAGCAGCTCTGAGGTTACTGGGATGGTCAGCTCCGGGTAGCAGAGTGTCGGACTCTCCAGAATGGGATTCCTCAGTGGTTCATCCTGTCCTGCATACTATTTAATGCCTGCATGAAATTCCCGTGTGACGGCACACTGCTCCATCTTCCTCTTCAGGCTGAGACAATGACTGGGAGAGAGCCGGCAAAGGGAAGCCCAAGCCAGAAAAGACAGAGGTGCTGTCAGTGAATAGTTCCTCTGACTCACAGCCTGTTCTAGACAAGGTCGCATTCTGCATGAAGGAGCAGCTCCAAAGTTTGGGGCTGCCTTGAGGCACAGAGTGCCTTCTACCAGCTCTGGCCAGTGGGTCAGCTATTCCTCCACCTAGGCAAGGATAGGCTGGTTTCTGTACTCTGCACTCTGACAAGCTCTAGAATAGATTGCTGCAATGCGCTCCACGCAGAGCTGCCCTTGAAGACTGTCCAGAAGCTGAACTTGTGCAAAACGTGGGAACCAGACTAATAGCCAAGACCAGGAAGACCAAACACGCAGCAACAATTCCGGTCCCCTTGCACTGGTTGCCTACTTGCTTCAGAGCCGGATGCAATGCATTAGTTTTAACCTGTAAGGCACGACCTGGCCTGGAAACCTCACACTTGACAGAACACCTCCCTCAGCCACAAGCCACCCAGACCACAAGCCATCCAGAACAGCACCTGGGGCCCTCCTCCAGCCATTAGCTGCAAGGGAGGCTCGGTCGGTAGGACCAAAGCACGGGGCTTCGCAGTGGCAATCCCGTAAGTTCCCCACTGCGGGCTGCCTTGCACCAAGCCTACTTTCCTTCTGACACCAGGTTAAGACTGTCTTTTGTGCATTTAAGGCAGGAGGCATTCTGCTAGCTGTTTAATAGGTTTGAACGTATCCAGCTATGCAGATAATTAAGTCATTAGACGTGGTTTTTACATTTGGTTTTTAAATTTTGTAGTGAATTTGTATGATTTATTATCTATGTTTTATACTGGATATTACTGTATTTAATGAATCTTTCTAAACTTGCCAGAGGCTCTGGCTATTGATCAATACAGAAATAAAATATTTTGAGACAGACAAGCCAGGCAAACAAGATCTCCCCCTGCCACAGAATTCAGTCCTACCAGAGTGGAGTCTTACCAACCAACTCCTTCCCTATATTGCCAGCATCCATCCCAGACAGATTCCCTTCCAGCCAGTTATCTTAGAACAGGCAACACCAAATCATATGCACATTTTCACTGCTAATTTAGCTGTCAAAGGATATAAACCCTTGCTTTTAAAAAAGTAACTTTTACGTGTGTTCACAAGAATGTGTGATTTGTCCCCGTGAGTTACTCCAATGTTCCTGAAATTCGGCACAACGCAACCTTAAATACCAGGTGAGCCATGCAGTCAAGGATACGGCCCCCATGGTTCATGAGAACTCCTCCCTGGCCGTTGGGATCCAAAGCAGACTGCTGCTGGCGGAGAAGGACGGAGCTGTGTGGACTGGTGAAGGGTCCTTCAGGAATCCAGCCCACAGCCTGTCGGCTGCATAGATGCATCTAGGAGCAGGAGGGTGAGAAGAGCAAGGTATGTGCACAGCCCACACTGGCTTCTTCAACCAGTCTCTTCCCACATTCCAACAGAACACCCAGTTTCATCACCTTCTTTAAAAAAAAAAAAAAAAGCAGGCATTTGTATTCCAGATTGATAAGTCATTTATATAGCTTCTTGGCCAGTGAACAGGCTTCCAGAGATCTGAAATTAACTGATCAGAGGTAAGTGAAGGATTTTGAATCATTCATGTATGATGGATAAGTGTGCGCATAGTTAAAATTATATTGTTTTAAATTATGTCCTTGTTTTATGTTTCTACTTTTTATAGAGTTTTATGTAGTGTAAAATCGCATGTATTAACCTTCTGCCATCTTTGCCAGACTTCTCCTGAAAGAAGTATTTATGCTCGGATGGTCTCTCGCCAATAAAGGTAAAAACAAAAACCCAAAGGGATATATTTCCTTCTCGATAGCTCAGTAGCACTCATTAGCATTAATGGAAGTTACACATGCAGAAATGCACGGAAGGAGAAAGAATCCCCCCGGAGCGTGCATCCCACCTCTCATCCATAAGCATTTGCAAAACTCAAAGCCTAGAACATTGCACCGCTCAAGAAGGGCGAGGCACCGGGTGCAGCAGGTGAGCCAGGAGTTGGCTCAGACTCTGCTCCGAGAGCCTCGAAGTTTGGGCCCTGTGCCCAAGCTGCTTCCCACAAAGCACCCTGCCTGATCGGAGATGGAGCAGGTGGGGAGAGGCCCCAAACACTTCCTGCTTCTGAAACCTCTCTCTCCCTAACAGAAGATATATGTTATTTTAAAGCCACGAACCCTGTGAAGGCAGCCACTTTTAATTCAAGTTGAAGCTCAAGGCTCGTGTCCTGCTTGGAGGTTTTCCACAGCAGCTGGCTAAACGAGACCAGGCGAATCCGTCACAGCTCTTCTCATGAGGGGACGGACAGATATGTTCTGCTGAGACTTTTGCTCCACAGCAGGAGGCCTTCCTCCACCAAAATGGAGCAGAGGGCACGGGTGTCCTTCCAAGCACACAAAGCCTGCAACATTGGCGCACGCATGAGGCAAGCGCGTGTGACATCGCAGAATGCGATTCCGGGGCCTGCAGGTCCCTCCGCTGGGAAACGTGGGTCGCACAACGCTGTTGGGCCACTGCCGTGTTGCTCAGAGGCCAACAAACCAGCAGAGCAGTTGGCACCTCTACGGTTTTGCAGGCTAAGTAGCAAGAAGGCAGGTCAGTGGCGGGGGGTAGAGAGAGAGAGAATGATTCATTCGAGCTTTAACTTGTTGCACTCCAACAGCAGCAGCACCAAAACCGTTGCGCGAAGGGTACTTAGGAAAAGCCAGTGCTCCCCTTTGCTCACTGCCCTCTGTTTCTAGCATCCCCCACAGTTACAAAGCCAGGCCAGAGCAAGACCTCCTCTTGCACCCAATCAGCCATAACTCGGGTTTCATTCAGTGACCAAGCCAATGGTCATTCAGAGTGACCATTTAGCATCATCATCCCTCGTCCAGGAATGAACCAGCAACAGAAGTTCAGGCATCCTTATCTGCCTGGCCCAACGGAAGACAACATCCATTCCCTTTGAAGGGAGCTTATCCCCCCCCCCCCCAACCCACTCTTCTGAACCAAGGCCTTTTCTGTGGTGCCAGCACTGGAATAAGGGATTACATGGGCATTTCAAAGATCCTGAAGTCCAAGAGGCATCCCGGTTGTTTCAGAGCTTCCATATACTCAGTGATCAAGGCAAGGGAGCGACACCTCAGGCAGCCACCAGCGCAAGCGGATGCTGTGCCGCTTCTCTGCGATGAGGGGCCCTGCCAGTCCTGAGGACCTGCGCCAACACACAACACCCAGGCACAAGCTGCAGGAAAACGTGGGGGCACAGCTCTACAAAACTGCTTTTGGCTAGCTAAAAAGCAACCGGAACAAGACCGAGCAAGCCGCTTGGGAAGTAGCACCCTATATTTTTCTAATTCTGTTCTGTTGTTTTTAAGTTGACAAATATCCATCTCGAGGCAGAGCGGCATCCTGGGAACAGCTGGGAGGCAGTTTCAAGCTCAAACGAGCCCGAAGCACATGCTGGCAAGTCACCTCCGATCGCTTCTGAATGGCAGCACATGGAGATTTATGCCCAGCTATAAATTAGGACAATTATTTCTTTCCAGGTTGCTTTTTTATTCCATGCAGAAACTACAATTTATTCCCTCACACACACCTTTTAAATAAAAAGGATATCTTCCCTTTCTTTGATAATGAGTTCGTTCTGTTCCTCGAGTTGTCTGATCTTCTTCTCAAACGACTCCTGCTCGGCTTTCAGCCGTTCTTCTGTCACCTCTTTTTCCTCGCTCACCCTGAAGGATCAAAGAACACACTCACTGTCAGACAATCACGACACAGAAGTGTGCGTTCCCCCTTCTGATCAGGACCAGCCTTGGGCCTTCGGGCAGCCCCTACTCCCACGGCAGAGCCGGGGGACATACGCAGCTCCCACCGCTCTTAGTGCTCGCTTACACTGCCCCTCGTCCCCGCAAGCAACCGACGCCTCCCATCTCACCAGCCGTTGTCTCAAGGCAGGGCACAATGCAGCTGCTCTCCTGCCAGGAGGGGAACCAAGGCCGGGGAGAAAGACTTGCCCGAGGCCGAACAGTGAGCCCGATGGCCGGCGTGGCGCAGGAACGGAGGCCAGCTGAACAGGAGCTGAAGCCCATGAGCAAAACCCTCCAGCAGCACCAGCAGCTGCTGCACCGTACCATTAGCGGCCCTCTCTGGCCCCCTTCAACGGCTTTGCTCACGGATCCTTCTGCACCTGCCCAGCGGGAGGAGCGCTGAGGAACTGGGCACACCTGCACTCCTCACGCCGAGACCCCGACCGGGCCACCCTGCGACTGAGGTGATGGCCCCTCAGGTCGACCGCCCCGGGAGGCTGGAGCACCCCATCCGACAGACTCCCCATCTCTGAACCCCCCTCCTTGGATACTGCTGCTCCTCCTCGTTCCCACGGGCGGTTGACGGGTCCCCAGGTTGCCCTTAATCTCTTCCCTTGCAGGTGTCCAGGGCCCTGGACTCTCCACAAGCATCTTGGTGTCAGAGCCTGAGCCGATGAGCTGGGCCAGCCGCCCGCGTCCTCGGAATCTGAGCGGCAGTCCAGCCGGAACGGCCAGCCTCTCATGCGAGCCCCTGCACTTTGCACGCGCGACAGCAACTGAGAGATGGCAGCAACCCCCACTGACCTTTTTTTGGGGGGGGAGGGCCTGCTGCTAGTGCAAAGGCAGCAGGACGCGCACAGCTGGTGGAGGAGGAAGTGCCCAAGGCCCATGAAGACGGCCAACCCTGCTCTAGCCGTCCACACAAACGGAGCGGGCCCGGCTGACGCATCACAAAGTCTCAGGCGGGGGCTGGGAGGCAACCTCTGCAAAGAAAATAAGCCTCCCACCATACAATTGCTCACAGGTGACCAAGAAGCAGCAGAGAAAATGGATACACACGCTTTGCCAGATTATGTCAGATTTATGTCGAGGCCTATTCAAGACCTGCTGGAGATTACTGTGTACTTTAGTGCTTTATGTCTCGCGGCAGAAACGCCAAAAATGATTTCTGGATCTGTCAGGAAGAAAATCGCTAGAAGTTAAGCAAAAGCTTTCGCGCAGCTGCTCCCCTTCCACTTCTTTTCCCCGGCCTCTGCACCCCACACCCTCGGCCAGTCCGCCTCGCTCCCCGTCGCTCCTCCTGTCTCGTGTTTGATCAGGCTCCCCCAGCCTAGACCCCAGCAGCCCAAAGCCTGCGTAACGGCCACAAACTCCAGCCTGGCATCCGCGGGCAAACCTATTTGACTTTGCAAAGGCAAGTCCTCCACACTGGAGACAGGCTCTCCCCTGTTCAAAGAGTCCCAACTCGTTTCAACCGTCTCTGAATTCTGCTTTTCCATTAGGAGGAATTGGGCAATGAAGGGGAGAAGAATTCTCCTGCTTGAAAACATATAACAAAAACACTAGCTAAGAAAAAGGGAGCTGGTAAAAGTGTCGGCCCAACCATTCCCTTTTCTAGAAGACTTAACAAAATGCAGCATTCTGATTGAGTCATCAAGATATGGAATTGATTTACAAACCACTGGAGAAACAAATATTATGATCATGTCTATCCATATGTTTTCCTTTTCCTTATTAAATTATTTTAAAATATTCGGAATTTTCTACTGCAATGTGTTTTGCATTTATTACTTTTCAATCATGCATCTTTGTATGGAGCAGTCATAACTGTGTGTCATACTAATAATAAATATACCTTTTAAAATACTATTATGCGAAAGGATCTTAATAAAAAAGAGCTCCTCAAAAAGACAAAATTTATTCACAGGCATTTTATCCCAACCTCTTACAGCCGGATATTCAAAAGCCTCACAGCTCTGCAATGCTGAGCAGTTTAATACACTCCTCAGCCAAACAACATCGGAGCGGCCTTGCTGAGACGGAAGAAGAGGCCCTCGAGTCCCGTATGCCACTGGGCCACGATCGGTGGAGACAGAACGTGGGACCACATGGACCTCGCAGCCTGACCTAACAAGGCAACTGCTTTGTCCTCAGAAGCAGGACAGGCCTGGCGCCTGTTCCTGCTTCTCGGCGTGTGGCGGAGGGCTTCAAAGCCCTTGGAGCCAGGCGCTGTGTGCAGCAGGCAGGGAGGGACAGAGAGGTCAAGCGCTCCCCAGTGAATGCTTTCCCTCTCAAAGGGCTGCTTCAGACAAAGAAAACAGGAGCTGCGGCGAGTCCCGGCAGCGATCTTTGCAGCGGCCCTCTGCAGTCCATGTTCCTTGCAAAGCTGCATGCGCTTCAAGTATCAGCAGGTGCTGGAGGAGCCACAAGCACCCCTTTTCGACAACACAGCCCTAGATGGGGTAGACCTAGATGGTCAGCCCTAGATGGGGTAGCAAGCATATACTGCAGGTTAAGAGGCAAGAGGCTATAACAAGAAAGCCCAGGGGAGGTCAAGCTGCAAAGCCCTGAGCTAAGGCGAGACAGGCAGACTCAGGATGTGCACCCCAAGTGTCTCACTGAGAAGCAGGAAGCTTCCGGGACAGAGGATGAACGAAAAGCCAGGCGGGTGGGATCCACAGCCTGCAAAACACAAGGTTTGCCACTGGAGAAGTGGGCACCTCTCCTCTGACTGCGTTGCCACCCCGCACACCACCCAGACATAAACTGTGCGGACAGATTAACAACATTGTGGCAGGGTTCTGAGCTCCTGTGGCCACAGTCTCAAGCTATTTTCTTAACTAGTGTTAAGAGAGCCAGTGTGGTGCAGCGGTTAAGAGCACGGGACTGGGACTCAGACGATCTGGGTTCGAGTCCCCGCTCAGCCATGGAGCCAACTGGGTGACTCTGGGCCAGTCACAGACTCTCAGCCCAACCTACCTCACAGGGTTGTTGTTGTGGGGATGGGATGGAGGAGGAGAATGATGCAAGCTGCCTTGGGCCCTTTGTCGGAAAAAGGCAGGATATAAATCGAAAAATAATAACAACTACTACCACTGCTGCTGCTGCACTGGATGGAAGCTCTCTGGCTGCCCATATGAACCTGGAATGTGTCATTGGTACGCGACCAGTCTGCATAAGCCAGGCTTACCCTAGACTGAGGATAACCAATGCGAGCAGGCCAGCCCGGCCTAGAATTCACGAGTGAGGCTGCCCAGACTAGCCATGGCCAGCAATGCTACTGCACAAGCTACATCCACACTTGGGAGATGCCACAAGCCTCGCTTACCTCCTGGAATGCAGGCTGCTGGGACACACTCGTGCCAGATCCCGTCTGGCCAGCGCTTCCCCAAGAGGCACAAGCAGCACCACTGGGGCGACCGTGCTAGGGAAAGTCAGAGGCAGACGAGGAAGGCCAGCTGTGGGATGGACGGACTCCGCCAAGGAAACCACAGCCTTGAATTCACGAGAGCCGAGTAGCGCTGCCAAGGGCAGGCCATTTTGGGACGCTCTTAATCACAGAGTTGCCTCACGCTGGAGATGGCTTGATGACGCATAAGTATGCTCTGTGGGGCAGCCCTTGAAAAATGCCTGGAGACTTCATCTGCCCAAACTGCTGCAGAGACTATGATAAACCAGGGTCAGTTAAAGGATCCATATGACTCCCTTGGTTAAAAAAAGGGAAGCAGCAGCAGCAGCTTTACTGCGACCAGTCCATTTCTGGGCATAACTTGAAGTGCTGGCTGTGACCTGCAAAGCCCAACATGACTTGGGACCAGACTATTTGAAAACCCACATTCTCAGAAGTTTTCAGTGGCTGGGGAGCCGTGCTTTCCTCTGAAATGTGCTGTCAGAGGCATCTTCCGTGGGAACAAGGGAGAGGGCCCTTCTGGTGCCTACAGCATGGGACATCGAGAGCGCTCCATCTCTATTGCCCTTCCACCAGAAAGCAAATCTGTTTCTATTCAGAGAGGGTTTTGCTGTGTAAACTCATCTGGTGCTGGAACAGGTATTAATCTGGTGAGTGCTGCTATTTCTGTCTGTATGTTGCTTGAAATAATTATCTTTTAACTGTAACTTGATTATTTTCCTGCATTTTATTGTTAGCTGCTTTGACCACTATGCTTAGAAGAAAACCAAGATAAACATTTGACAGATAGATGATAGATTGACATTTGATTAATTGATTGATTGGGTTCAGTTGGTACCTGTTTTGCTGCTAGGAATTATGAAGGAAAATACCAGCGCTGGTTCATAGAAGAAAAAACCTTCCACCTATTCTAAATGGAGAAGAAAATTATGGCAAGTCTTAAAAGAGCGAATGAGGTGAGAAAAACTAAAGCTTAACTCCCCTATTACGCTGAAGAAGTCTTTTTAATTATATCCATTAAAATATGATTAGGTTTAAAAATAAAAGGAGAACCAAGTATAAGGGAGCGTCACGCTGATTTTACTTTTCTAAATTAATGTTCCTATTTCTTCCCTTCCAAGAAATGTCAGGTCGGAATATGCAGGCTGCCCCTGGCAGGGGCAGGTGCTGGGAATTATGTGCACCCAAGACCTAAAACAGCGACTAGGAAGTTCCGGCCGGTGGTCTAACAGGATGCCCTGAACGAAACTCACGGAGGCCTCCCCACGGACCACCTGGCCGCACCCCTTCCTCCTACCACACGCCAGAGCCTTTAACGCCTTGCCTGCCAGAAGGAGGTTTCTGCTGTGCTTTTCTGTCTTCCCCCTGGCCTTCCAGGTCCTTCTGGTCCCAACACTGCACTTCCTCTAATGACTGTGGGCATTACTGCCGCCTTTTGAAGCTACATCAGTTCAACAGTATAACCAAGTTTTACCTGTGGCTTGGACTTTAGGATGATATTCCAGCTTTTAATTCAGACTGAATGGAGGGTGAGTTGCTTTGTCATAGAGATGCATATAGTTGTCCTGAATTTTTTCAATACAATCTAATTCTGTGCAATTTACATTTTGGCCCTGCACTCTGCCTCTGGTCCCATCTACCTCCCCAAGATCAGAACCAGCGCCCAGGCTGAAGACGATCTCTTCCCTTCCTTTAAAAGAATCTTATTTTCTTTTAAAGGACTGCTTGGCTACTGGATGCATAAATATCAGTGACAACAAATGATGCTTTTATTTAAATCTGTATTTTCCAAAAGTAATTTCAATTAGCTTCTCTTTAAAAAATAGCCTGGCTTACAATAAACCGACATAAGTATATATGTTATGCTTGCACTGATCATCTCTTAAAACTGAACCAACACCTATCATTTTTAGACGCACTAGATACAAAATTCGGACTTAACAAAGCATCGTCTGCCATTATATGCATAAGTCAAGATCAGCCTCACTAGATTTCATAGTTTGGTTTGAGTACAAATTACACTTTGCACACACCAAGTTTTCATGGTTTACTGAAAATGGAAACTTCTGACAAGGGCGCCTTATGAGGGAGGAAGGGAGGAAGGAAGGACGGCTTACTAAGTGCTCCCCAGTTGTTTCTTCCTTCCTCTGGTGGCACAAACTGCCAGGCTCCTGGTGCTCAGATCCATCCAGGCCAGAACTCTTGTGGCCCAAATGCTTCCTGCCATGAACGAGTGCAACAGCAGCGGGGACCTCCATTTGTCCCCAGCTCAGTGCAATCCCACAATGGCTAATTATGACAAACATTTACCGCCTTATGCTCTGTCCAACTATCTTGTTTTTAACATATTCTAAGCTACACCCTGACTGTCCCCGCACCCACCAAAAAAAGAGGCCGGCAAGAGATAAAATAATGCCTTTCACGCTTTTGCTGAGTGTATCCTCAGCGTGCAAATACCACATTCTGCCGGCAATCCGTGCCACGGAGCTTCCAGATACACACCCACTTCCCAGCCTTCCGATCTCACATGTGCAGGAAGCCAGGGATCTTTCCAAGAAATGCCACGGACTTTGAGAAGATACAGAGAAGTGGCTACACAGTGATGTGAAAATACTGAAATTGTCTCCCTAAGAGACAGACAAAGAATGGGAAGGAAAAGAACCCCATGCAAACCCAGAAGGAAATTAAAGGTCTAGAGCAAGAATGCCTCCAAGGACATTCCTCCTGTATCCCTGCTTATAAAAAAACCAAAGGGAGCTGGGATTCCTCTCTTCTGTTCAAAATGCAGCAACCACGACAACACCAAAGCAGAAGCTGAAACCGGACAGGGATTAATAGAACGAGGAGTAGGCCAGGCCGTGGCAGTGCTGTGAGGAGCAGCAAGGGGCGTGCAGTGGTCACTGGCTGCCTCTAGACCCTGGACCTCCCTCACACACACGGCGCCATAGCCGCGAGGGACAGAAACGTGCTCTGCTGCTGCTGCCGAAAGCGTCAGCTGTCCCGCCTGGGCAGACCGCTGGGGTCCAGGAGCCCGTTTTCACCCACCATGAACTGCACATGGCGGGCCTGTCGTGAGCGGAGCCACCTGGAGCCGGGGGTCAGACTAGATGGCCCAGGAGGCCCCTCCTGACTCGCGCTGTTTCTATGTTTCTATGCAAGGCATTCCTGCCACTGCTACCGATGTGTTTATCACAGTAAAGCTGCTCCTCCCAGCTTCCACTGCGGTTTATCCCTGGGGCTTCTGCCAGGCCCACAGCCTGCTCGGGAGGCCTGAGGGGCCACATGCAGCCCACGGCCAGCAGCTCACCTGCACCCAGGCAAGGCGCAGCACAGGGAAAACTTTGCTCTCGACCGCTGCTGTTTACACCACAGAGCACAAGTCCCAGTGGCCCATCCTCCAGCAGTACAAAGGTGCAACGTTCACAGTCCCGTACGATAAGGAGGTGCTGGGGCAGGAATAAAGTGCTCCTGCCTCAGTTCCCTGACACAGCAGGGCCTGTTTGGTTGGAGCCCATCGAAGGCCTTAGGCAGGGATCATCTCCCGGGAGAGAAAGAGACAGGCGACCACTCCGTGCCCTTTGCTGTAACGGCTCGTGGCACCGGAGAATTGGCAACGCGCTTTCCGTAAACATGGACCCTTAAATTCCTGAAGAGCAATTGGAGGGAGAGCCTCAACCAAAAGCTGATGCATTATCAGACAGAGTTTATCCTCACCTTGCAAGCTCCTTAATTAAGTTTGCTATGCGCCTCTTGTCTTCAGGACATAAATCCTTTAGAGAAGCACTTTTCATTCCTCCTTTGTCAGGGACCTGAAAATTAAAATCAGCATTTTAAAAAACAATCATTAACATGGAACAAGTGTTCTGAATCTACAATAAAAGTATTTCAAGCACCATAGGCTGCATATTTAGCCCTGGATGAATTAAGAACTGAAGAAAACAGGGGGTTTTCAAATCAACCAGTGGAATAATTTCCCAAATGATGTGCTGCAAGATCCACCATTAACTTGCACATCCAAAGATAAGCTGTGTGTGGAGGCAGAGGTGCAAAGGGCTACAACACATCAAGGAAAGCATGTTTTGGGGGCCAGGGAAGGCTGCAGCCAACTCGTACATTTTAATGTTTCCATTAATGTATTAGCTGATGGGTGACACATTTGTCCTGGGGGTGAGAGGTCTCTGTGCCGCAAAGACCAGCTACTTAGAGAAGTGAACAAAAAGTCCACCCACAAATTTATCATGCAGCACAAATGCTAATATCGTATGGAGTACTAATGTTAAACAGTCTCTTTTAAAAGCAAATTGCAGCTGCAACAGCAAGAGTATGTAATGTTTTGAAGCATACAAAATATGAAAAATACAGCCTTTCGATTCAATGAGTGACGCTGAAGGTCTAACATGCTTGGACCCATATCCTTCGCAGTGATGCAAGGATTCAGCACGGCCTGCTATTAAACTGACACAGCTCGCATCTCAACAGTCTTCCCACAAAGCTCAGATCTGCTCTGCCCAAGCCAATACAATTTCAAGACTCAAAATGATCTCTGCAGCTCTAAAAGTCATCAAGAAGGTAAAGCCCCATTGCTTCTGGGGTTTCAACACTCGCACAGGCCTGCCGTATCAGCCACAGTTCGCTGTGGTGCCGGTATCACAGGAGACTGAAAATTCTTGGGTCACCAAGATAACCGATAGTACAATCAGCAAGCCCTTACAAGTGGTCTGGTCACCCTGTCTTGCAGTACATTCTCTGTCCACGAGAGGGCACCATTTGCTCTAGCTCTTGCATGCCTGTAGCTGCAGGGCCTCCCTTACTAGGACGCGCACTGTCGATGGCGAATTCGATTCTGCTATTTAATTCCCACTCTCAATTGGACTTTTGGCAACTTTCTCCACTTTAGCAACAGCTGAATATCACAGCAACGGAACAGCCGGTGACTATAATTTAGAACGTAAGAGCTGCAGCAGAACTACGCAGAAATGAAATTGTGGGGAAATAATGGCTAACACAAGAAAACGCTGCTGTTGAAGTTGGAGGAGGCTCTGTCCTAAGGGACGCACAATCTACAGCGGCACATGCTTGTCTTGTCTCCGCACCCGAACCCTCGTCCTCCTGACCCTGAGTCTAATCTATATCCACTGCACAACCACTAACCCTGCTTGTTCCCGGACATTTTGAACCCGGCAAGAGGACAGAAGAGCTTTCTCTCCCTTCAGTTTGCTTTGCACAGGACCGGGAACTGGCACGCAGGTGGGAGAGAAGGCCAGCATTCCCAAATTCTGAAAGAACCGTTCCCACCGAAGTGCAGAGGACATTCTCCTGTGCCCAACAAACCCTGTTGAGAGAGGCAGCCATGCGAGTCCCAAAGGCAGGCCGGAGGCAAGATCAGTGAGTCGTTCGTTTCATGGGCCAGCCGCTGCCAATCAAGCTGCTAAATCTGTCGGGATTTAGGGGACCCCTCTTCGGCTGGAGCAACAGTCACAGTTCAGTTCAAAGGAGAGGCCACGGTCCACCCAAAAGGTCACTATCTTCCTCCAAGCAAGCTGGCCTGGGGACATTTCCTGTGCGGGAGCTTCTCCTACCGTTCGGGTCTTCAAACACGGGGCTGGAAGCGCCATCCCTTCAGTGTTTGCCCAAGGCCTACAATACAAGGCATTTTCTCCGAACGGTTTGCAGTTTCTTTCCACTGCGGGCCTATGGCACAATTGAAAACAGATCACACAAAGAATGAACAAAGGGTCTGCATTTCGTTTACGCACCACGCACGCCTTCTCAAGAGCATGATTGGGAGATGCTGCTAGACATTATCAAGAAAACATGTCCTTCTGGGTTCAGCTACTCCTTTCAAAGAAATCTTCAAACACTAATAAAATTATTATTTTAAGCTGTCTTTGAAATGGATAGTAGCGATCAACCTGTACCGAGTGATGTTTCTCACAACCTCAGGCATGAGAGAGCTTCATTCAAACCTTTTGATTTGTGTTTAATTTAAACTAGTTTTTCACTCAAAGCACTTCAAGTTAACAGCTGCAGGTTATATCTGCTAAAACTTTCCCTGCACTTTTCAAAAGATGACAACTTGTTTCAAAGACGACAGCTCATGCCGTGTGCTCGCACCGGAAACGTTCCCGCTCCTGCAACCGTGGACAGATGCACTCACAGCTCTGCTTGCACAAATCCCGGGTCACAGAACTCAGGCCTGCAGCAGGATGAAGAGTTCCAAGCTGCTCCTTGGGATGCCTCTCCTAGTGGGCAACCTGCACGAGGCAGCAGCAACTTTTCAAAAGGACGGACAAGTAATTGAAGCGAGAGTGTGGCTTTGATCATGATCAACGCAGAAAAGCACTGTCTGAGGAACACGATGAGCCCACGTGGCCTGTTCCAAGGCATCATGGGGCGCACGCCCAACTGTACATATTAATTCAGCAACTTGGAGTAGAAATCTGGCAAGTTTGCGATGTATCCCGGAGGCCAACGCATCTCCTATTCAATGTGCAGCCACAGATCCTACTGAGGCAGCATCCGTGCTTTCCAAAGGTCAAAAAAGGCACTTGAGACAATGTTCTTCACTAGCCCTGTGGGCCACAAGTGGCTCTCGATCCACGCAAGTGTGATTCACCCTCCCCTCCCCCCCTTTCTCACATGCACACACGCACTGTAGCCACTCACACTCGGCAAGGGTTTTCTAACTTTGTCTTTAGCACTGGGCAAACGGCTGTGATCTGCACTCCTAGAAAATGTCCCGGGGTGGGGAGCTGAGCTCAGCCGTCCAGGGGCCGGAGGCAGGGAGAGGAGAACATAGGCACAATCAGCCCAGGAGCTGTGGGGCAGGAAGAACGCAAGAGGCTAAGAGCCGTGTGATGGTGAGGTGCTAGAGAGAAAACGGCAGGGGAGGGAGACAATGCAACGTGCTTGGAGATTTTGCAGCAGTCTCTTCGACGATAAGAGAAACGACACGACCCAGTCCAACGTTGTTTACCTGCCTGGCGAAGGGGTGACTAGCTGCTTAAGCCTTGCTTGGAGGGTGCTGACGGAAGACCCAGAAATGACTGGTTTATGCAACACTACCACCTGCTGTGGGTAACCAGCTGGTTGGGTTGCTAGGCTTATCCCAGAAGGCTTCACCCACAGGCGTGCTTTAACTCTTCTGTTCAGACTCGCAAAGAGCAGCACTGCACACTTCCGCAGCCCTGGAAGAGGAAGCCTCTCCTGGGCATCGTCGGGGGCGGAGGGAACCTGCTCTCAAAGCGCAGTAGGTGCCAAACCGGTTCAGCGATCCGGAGTGACTCCAAGCAGTTTTTTACTTTGCTTTCATCAGACAGCTATCGAAAGTTAAGCTGTCACGAGAAAGGAAGACTGCAAGTCTTTGGAGGTGGCAAGACTCACGCCCCTTTGTGCCAAGATTGACCACCACCAAGCAGAGGGCAGTCCCCAGGCGACACAGGCTTTAGCTGCCCAAGGGGGGGCGGAAATGCACTGTGCCCCCTTTGCTGCGGCAAGGCAGCTGGTCCAAATCTCCCGGACCAAAGGTAAATCCATTGCCCTATAAAAAAGCCAGCTGTCAAAACTCCTTTACCCTAGGAAGTCTCCAGGAAACAGCGCTCAGGAGAAAGCGCTGTGTGCACATCACCCTGAGGGCCATCAGGGAAAAAACAGCCAGCACACTTCACAGCAACAACAACACTTGTGCACATCCGGAGTGAACAAACCGCGTTCAAAACAGCTTCCGCCCACCAGTGACAGCCGCTCCAGTGGGTCGACAGGAAGGGCTGTCCTGACAGTCAAATAAGGGATAAGGGGGGAAAGGCATGCTGCGCCAGAATACGGCTCACAACCACAGTGTGTGCGCGTGGGGGGGGGGGTGGAGGGCATTCAACCCAGCTGCAGCGTCCCCCAGATACCAGCTGCAAAGACTGAGGAGGCACCACCCGTGACGGGCTCTGCCCTCTGGCAGGCTCAGCACAGGATGTTCGCAATGCAAGCGAGCCACTGCCACTGGCATGTCCCGGAGGAGCCCGGACGCTTCGGTGGACGCCTCCAGCCCTCAAACGGAGGACATCACAGACTAACATTTCCCAGGCCCCCCTTGCACGTCCACAGCCCATCATGTTCTAGTCTGAGGGAAGACACAGTCCGCTGTCCTGAACCCCCTACGGCGCATCCGTTCAGGCTTTCCTTGCAAACCGGGTTCAGAAATCAGGATTCACAAACTATGGCTTCTCTCGCACGGGGACAGGAGGCCGAGCGTCGCAAAGTGCAAGGAAGGAGGGCACACGCTGCCCCACGCATGGAGCTGTGGCTCCGGACTGCACACTCACACCACAACAGTGCGGAAGTACATCTGCACCACCTCACTCGAATCCTCAGTGGCCCTGGGCAACTGACACTCCCAAAACCTGCTCAAGACAAGTCATGCAACTCCATCATGGAGCCTGGCAGCAAAAGCAGCATCATAAAACAAGAGCCATTTTCCAAAAACAGCAAGTAGGATGCCTTCAGAAATGTCCTGCTGGTTGCTTCTCACACAACAGAGAGACCCACACAGGACTGAAGAAAAGAGGGTGGGAGAAACCCACCACGTAATACTTACTGCAGGATGACACAAAATAACCCTCATGGCTCCACAGTGCCACCCCAAATTAATACATAAAAGCAAAATCCAACCAGACTGAAGGATTAAATTCATATTTTCATTGCAGTGCCCTGGAACATGTTATCTCTTTGATATGAAGAATTAGCCCCTTAAGAAATACCATTCCATATAAAATTGCTTGTTTACCCACTCACACTCCTCAGGGCATGGCAAGAAATAAATCAATAAATTAACTGATATATCCATTCATCACCACCTTCGTGCTTTCTTCCTGGTTTACATCCCCCAATAAAACCATATCTTCATCCATGACTCAGGCATGCCAGCTCAGGTAAGCAGCATTTGGGCAAATGTTTTTTGTTACAAGCAAGCACCTCAATGCTTTCAGAACAGCTCTGTCAGACAAACCAGCCTCTGTAAGCAAGGGAAGGGAAAACGAGCCAGCTCACTGCCTTGCACTCTCTAGGTCTCCACAAAAGGATGGTCTTCGAAGAGGGAGAAAGGAAACTCACCGGCAACACTCACTCCCTCTAATCTCTGCCGTGTTGACTTCGAACCTTTGGCGAAGGCCCAATCGGAGCGCTACGTTCCCTAAGCTCAAGAGGCACCTTTATACAGCAGAGCTCCAATCCTGCATTAGTGCCATGGGAATAAAGCTGAGGGATGCCGGTGGCCCTGTGGTTTAGACTGTTGCGCCGCTGGGCTGGGCGATCGAAAGGTCGCCGGTTCGAATCCGCCCAACGGGGTGAGTTCCCGTTGCTCCGTCCCAGCTCCTGCCCACCTTGCAGTTCGAAAGCATGCAAAGGCAAGTCGAGGAAAAGGTACCACTTCGGTGGGCAGGTTGCAGCGTTCCGGGACGTAAGGCCAAGGGGAAACCTTTACCTTTAATACGGTTGAGTATATTGTCCACAGCGAAGGAATAACCTGTGGCCGTCCCGAAGGCTGGGGGAGGAATGGTTCCGCCCCCCCCCCCCCCCACGTTCGCCCGCTCTGCCACGGCTGCCTGTCCAGCTCGGGGCGAAGCAGCAGCTCTGACAACCTGTGCGGCTCAAGGCTGCCCACGCGCACGAGACACTGGGCCACGTGGAGAGGGGGCAGCTCGGCGGCAGCAGGCGTGCTGGAGGCGCGGAAAGCCCCTCGCCCGGCCCTGGCCCGGCCCGGCCCGTCCAGAGGGGGGCCGGCAGCAGACCTCGGAAAGAGCCCCCTCTGCCTCCTGGCCTGCCCTGGGATACGCAGCTTCCCCCTGCGAGATGCAGGGAAGGGGCACCGGGGGGCCGATCTCGACTGCTGGGGGAGAGCCTGGAAGTGCGACGGGGGGCAGACCCCTCGAGGGGAGGCGCGGAGCATCTGCCAGCTCACGGGAGGGGCAGGAAGAGGCGTCTCCTTGGTCCAGCCCTCTGTCTTGCCAGAGGCCTCTTGGAATGGTGTGAGGATGCAACACGGACCGTGCCACCGATTCCTGCCCGCCTGCCCAGAAGAGCTTTGCAGTCCCTCAGCGCCGGGCAGAACCTGCTCCTGCTTGGTCCGCTTTGGCCCAGGACTGACAAAGGCGTGTCTACTCACAATGGCAACACCTGAGGCCTAGACAAACAGGATTCCAGGGGCCGCAAAGCTGCCCGCTCCACCGCTCCTGCTTCGTTTCCATACCCCAAACATGCAGCGTGATTGCAGAAAGCAAGATTCAGACCTGGAAAGGCTGCAAAGCCAAAGGCAAAAGCCCCTTTCCAGCCCTCTGAGGAGGACGCCTTAAGCAGCAACACCCTTGCAGCGCCAGCCGAGATGCAGGGTCCTGTTCACGCAGAAGAAGCCCCACCAAATTTAACGGGCTTGAGCTTTAATGGGAAGGATGCAAAGGAGTGCAGCCCCTGCTCTGACTAGGTTCTGTCGCCCCTTTCACAGATTTTATAGGAACAACCATTCTGACCTGCTGTCCAGGCAAATCTGTATTTTTCAAGGCATCCATTGGGGCAGGAGTAGCAGCTGTAGGTTCCTTTGTCTTCTGTTCTGCTTTCTGACCTCTCAGCCGGTGCCTTGCTCTAAAATTCCGCTCGGTAGAAACTCCTGTAGATGGAATGGAAAGTCAGGAAAGCTCTTATACAGCACCTTCCGCACTGACCCTCACGACACAAAAGAGGACATGAGCGCAGAGGCAAAAGACACTGAGCAGCACTTTCCAAAAGTCCCTGCAACACCCACACACTAGTCGCTGGACTGGGGAACTCCAGGGGAAATACTGAGCAAACCATAAGGCTGTTCCACCTTGGACTGGTTATGCTGTTTCAAAGACAGAAGTATCAAACCTGATTTAAAGATCCCACAATAAACCAAAGATTAATAGTTTTATGGATTGCAGATCAACACTTATCTTTTGAAGGCAAAGGTTCAATAATTTCACACACAGACACACACACGCACACACACACCCCAATCCCTTTGGTGTTGTTTCATCAAGTCCGTGCTGCCATGCGCAGCTGCCGCTTGATTCAGCTTCCTGGCCGCCCGCTTTTCCACAAGATTAGGTTCCCCAGTCTCAGTCCAACAGACTCTGCAGATCAGCCTGGCAAACACTTAGTATGTCCATCTTTCTGCAAGTCCGTGGTCACAGCTTCCAAGGGCCAAGACAGAAGCTCTGTTATCAAACTGGAACAAGCCTTGTGCCACGGGAGCTGGTAACGTGAACCTGGCTTGCTGAAGGATGCAAAACATTTCTTCCTACCTCTGGCCAACTGGAAGAGGCCTCACAGCCGCCCCGTTTTTCTCCTGGAACGCAAGTCTGGCTGACCAGGGAGTCAGTCCAGGGGATCAGACCTTGGCTTGCTCACTGCAGGCCTTTGCAAGCGGCTGGTGGCGAGGCGAGATCCTGGCTCCCGGCCAAGCGCTTCCATGGGGCAACACTCTGGGCAGCTCCGTGCTCGACACTCCCGAGCCTGGTGTCTGGACGCCTCAGGCAACGACCCCAGAGAAGAACTGGCTCAGCCGGGCCCCCCGGCTGCTTCCTGGGCTGCCTCCCTTCGTTGTTCCGCAAAGAGAAACAGAGCCGGAGCCAGGAAGCAGTCCATCCACTCACTGCTGCCACTCCCAAAGGCCTCGTGGGCGTTTGATCATCCCAACTGGGTCACGGTGTTTACACACTTATTTGTTGCCTAATCCCAAACGGGCAGCTGGAAATCTTGAATTAACAAATGGGAAATGTATATGTTTTTGTCAGCTTTGCAGGGAGACCCTTGGGTGTCAGCGTGTCGAGATAGAAAAAGAATGGAAAATTTTTAAGCACTATTTCTGCTAACAGGTTGTAATCCGACCCTTTTCTTTAATTTATATTTTGCCCTAGTTCTACGGTTAAAATATCTCACCCATCTCAGTTTCTTGCCTACTGTATATGAACAATTACGTACAATATTAGATTTTTAAGGATTTTAGTCAGCTTTGTCTATTGGGCAAGCCTAGGTATTGAATACAAGAAATGAAATTCAGCAGTGGAGTTGAACCAAAGTATCAAAATGACACTCTTATATTTTGCAACTGCTCAAAGATCATACCTGGAACATACACAGGAGGCTGGCCTTCATCAGAAACTGAATGCAATTTCATTCAAGGAAAGCAAAGGGCAAAGATGATTGTTCTGTACTGTGTTTCAGAGTCTGCAGCCTTTAAAAGCCCGATGGGAAAGATTTCTTGAGTCAAAATGCAAAGTTTGGCAGCAGAACATGGAGAGAAGGCCTGCCAGGGCGGCCACCTCTGTGCGCCCACGTCCCTTTCCTCGCTCTGAACAGGAGGAGAGCCCAGCTCCAAGCTGCCATTCATCAAGTACCTTGCAACTAACTCAGCTGATGAGATAAGGAACCGCAGCTGGGTTCCAACTCCATTTTGGGGCAATCCTTTATTAGTCTAACTCAAAGATCACAAACATGCAAAAGCTTCTGAGATCCCCAAATCTTTTCATCCAGGGAGATGGCACGAGGGCGAGAAGCTGGGAAAGGCTTTGAGGAAGTGTGGCTTGGAAGAGTCGGAAGATGAAATGGACGGGAGAATGAAGCCAACGTTCAAACGGGAACCTGCCAGGTGTGACGATGTCGCATGGCAACCGAGCCCCAGCTGTTCCTCGGACCCATCTCCACCCACATCCTTTTCCACTGCCCTTCTTCATACTGGCCCTCGTGCTTCCGAGACACTATGAACAGGGGGACTCAGGCCTCACCATGTAATGCCAAGAAGCAACCTGGTGCTTCCACAGGCAGACGGTACAATCTGAGGGGCCAGGAGGGCCACCAGGTGGTAACAGCAGACCTGCATCCACGGCACGAGATTCCCACTCGTTCAGCTGATGCTTTTCTAACCCAGGGAAAGATGAAGTATAGATAACCTCGCTTCCAACAGCAAATCCTTAGTGCCCGTATGCAACCTTCCAGCAAAGCCTTGAAAGAGCAGCAGGGTACAAACATGGCACAGAAGCATCTGAACTCCTCGGGATTCTACCTGGTTTCGGGACAAGATGCAATGGGAACATCTCTTCAGTGT